CTCTAAGGCTCGCACGCGCTCCACTAAGTGCTCGATTCTGGACTCCAGATTGCTCCTACGGACCGCTTGGGATGCCAAAAGAGTGAGAGCCTGGTCGAGCTTTGCGTTGTACTCAGAGGAGTCCTCGAAAGACTCATATGGCTGCTCAACAGGCCCGTAATCCCACTGCTGCTCGTAAGGATATGATAAGGTCTGGCTGAAGTCCCAAAAATCATGGTAAGGAGGTGGTTGGGCACACTGGGCTGCGGTTTCTTCTTCCTGAGCTAACCGGGATGCTGCAAATTCATAAATTCGGTCGAGCTTCTCGTTGAACTCGTGGGACTCATGATTTTGCTCCACCGGGAAGGGGTCCCAGTACTGCTCGGAAGGATATGGATGTGGCTGGTTATAGTACCCGTTGCGGTAGCTTGGCTCATTAACCCAAAATTGGGTGTGCGGTGGTGGGTAGACAGAGTTGTAGTTCATATCTCCTGCACACCAAAATAGAACAAACCACGCGAAGCCACGAAAACGAGAAAAACAAAGAAGACGAAAAGTAAAACAAATATGCACAAAAAGAAGAACAAAAATACGAAAAACACAAAATAAAGAGAAACACGGAAAATAAAATCAATACCAAAACCAAATATCCTACTTACCTTCCCCGGCAACGGCGCCAAATTTGTTGTGTACAATACCGAATCGAAAGATTCGTTTCCCGGGTCGATCTCATGAGGAAGGCGGTTCGGAATTTAGTTCTGATATCGATAAAACTTAAAAGCAAAGAAAATCCTAAACATACTAATCAAATAAGGATGGATGAATTATCAGCTAAGAAAGAAATAACAATGCAAAAATGTAAATCTACCTAAGAATATGGATGAAACGAAGATGAAGCAGCTGGAGAATCGGGGATAATTAATTCAAGTTTTAGCAAAGTCGGGCATTCAATTGTTCAGTTCAAGATTGATACTCTTGCTTATATATCTAGAGGTTCGCTCCCAATAACTTTTCGTAACAAGGGATTGAACATAGACGTGCAAGTTCGAGCATACAATACAAGTCAATTATCCCAATCCCAACAACTTTTCGTAACAAGGGATGGGTCATCGACAAGCAGGTATTCCAATCTAAAACACATAGATTATTCAGCTACGAACTCATCTACCTCATGCGAGCCTAGTTCTACGACTTCTCCCCTTTCAGTTCTAAAGTCGCTAATTAAATTAGAAGAGAATTAATCAACTAATCACATCGAATCAACAAAACCCTAACTCGACCAATCAATATTCAATTATTTCTAATTGCAAGATCGAAGTGTCACTCTTCGATTATATCAATCAATCAAACAAGATTCTATCAATTCAAAATCAATCATACTCACATAAGCATGAACAAATAGAAGCCCGACAATTACACATTAAACAAAAACAATCATCCCCTATCCCTAGCAATCGAATTTAGCTACGAATATCAAATTCAACAATCATGATCAATCCTCTCAAATAATCATTATTCATGAATTAAACAAGAGAAAAGAATTCTTACAATCAATCCAAGTTCCAGTCGAATTTGAAATTGAAGCTAAACTCTAACTGAGAAGAAGAAGAGAAAAAATGGAAAATAATGGTGAAAAGAAAGGTGAAAGATGAAGAAAAACAAGAGAAGAAAGGAGAAGAAAAGAAGGGAAGAGGAGGAGATTGGGTGTTTTCTCGGGACCTAGGGCTTTCACCGGTCGAGAGATCCCTTTTTTCGAGTGTCGAACGCGTTATTTATATTAACAGGAGGCCCGCGTGGAAAAGAACATGTGCCGCGGCGCGGCACTTTGCCGCGGCGTGACACAAGGTATCTGACCTCTGTCGACCTCGTGCTAGTGGCGCGGCGTGGGAGAAGGGGCGCATCGCGGCGCGAGGAACTCATCTGCCGCTGCGTGGAGTCTAACGCGGCGTGGCGCATAAAGATCTGGGCTCTGACGGGGTCGTGGCGGCTACGCGGCGCGATGGGCACTCTTGCCGCGGCATGGGAGTGCTTCACGGAGCGGAGGGAGCTTGTGTCGCGCCGCGGAGGTGTTGCCGCGCCGCGGCGCGCGGGACTGCTGGCACACTTCGCTTCTCGAGCTCGTTTGGACTCGTCCGAACTCGGAATTCGATTCCGTTTTTTCCTACGCGTCGCTAACGAGCTCCTCTTTTTAATGGTTTCAGCTTCCCCAAAAGATTCTTGAAAACCTGTTCTCTCGGGATCTCCGAACTACACACCAAAAACGAAAAGAGAACAGAAAAAAAAAACGGAAAACAAACGGAAATCTCCGCAACACTCAAATGAATGCAAAACACATAATAAATGACGAAAAGATCCTAAAACCACTTAAACGACTCAATACGGGGGAAAAAGAACAGGAAAATAAGCACGAAAAATGCAACAAAAATGGGACAAACATTGTCTATATGTTTTCTCATCGTCAGCAAACTACATGTGTTAGATTATCGGAGTAAGCATGGACATTGTATCAGTGGAGGCAAAAGTACTGATGCTCGTTGAAGAAATAATTAATCTATTAAAATTGGTTTTCTTGTTTGCTTATATTTATATAAAAGTCTTTGTTGACCTAAAGTGTTCATGTAGAGTCAGGCATCGAGACCGTGTAGAATCATACCGAATACCGTATTCTTAGTCAAATTGAACACATGAAACGATTAATAGATGTTAGCGATCGAACATTTGTAGATTATTTCGTTGGACCAAAATGCTTTTGGTAGGTTATGCTACATGTTGAAACACATTGGCTGATAGAGAGAAGTAAAATGTTGTAATAAGTGAACAAGAAGCAACCTTTTTGAGTGTACTAGCCCACCATAAAAATAAATTGTGTAGTCAAACTTTTTTTTTACGATCTGGGAAACAATTTTCAAAATATTCTATAATGTACTCGATGGTATCCTGCTTTTGCGATCTTAACTGTTCAATTGAGTCGTGTTGATGAATCATTCAATGATTGGAGATAGAAATGGTTTCAGGTGACGATCACTTAAAACAATTTGCAAACTTATTTTATATCTTATTTTTTGTCAATAAGAGATGGTTATTTGTTGTTTTTACTAATCATGTCTAGGGATGCGTAGAAGCAATAGATGAAACCTCTATTCATGTGTGTATTCCTTTGAGAGAACACGCCCGATACCAGAATCAAAATAAATATATATAAATGTCTCCCACTACAACAGTTGTCGCCATGTTGTCGTTGCCCATGTTGACGGAAACCTCCCTTTCGCTAAGCTGTCTGTTTTGTATGACCCCTTCAATGAATTGCAGATATGATCAGTAACTCCCTTCTACACACGAGGTACTGATAGATAACACTGCCAAACATTTTTCAACGACTAATGCAAGAGATTTACCTCTGTTGCCCTTCTTGAGGAAAGGACAGTTGGCCTTCCAGTGTCCTCTCTGTTTGCACCGACGGCGTTTGCCTCAGGATTCTTTGCCACTCTCTGAGGGGCCGGCCACGGAGCAACCGCAGAAACTTGTGTCTTTACCTTTCCCGCAAACTTCTTCTTCTTCCTACCCTTATTGGTCTTAGAAGAGGAAGGTCAGCCTGCTTGACAACTAGCACTTGAGCATTCTAACGAAAAAGTCTCTGTCGGCTGGAGTTCCGCAAGCAGATATCAAAGAGACAACAATATCTTATTCATGTTGTAGTTTAAACTGAAATGATCAAAACTCTTCGACAAAGACTAGAACATGTCAACCTGAGTTTCCCCCGTCAACCTCGTGTCTACGGACCTTTAATTCATTGAGTTGTGCCATGATAGCGAGGATGTGATCCATCACGGGAGCTCCCTTGGCAATGAGTGTGTTCATCATAACTCTCATATCCTTCTGTCGGATAGCGCACGACTGATAGTCAAATAGCTCCTTGAGAAATTTATAATTAAACTCTTGTCTAAATTTATAATTTAACTTCTGTCTCATTCTATAACACATTGGTTATGATAAAAAAAAAATATATATATATATTTATATGTTTAGTTAAGATTAGTCAAACTAAAATAAAAAATAAAGAAATAGAAAAATGAGTATTATTCATTTGATCTCACTTCCACTTTTGTTACTAACCATTTAATAATTGAAAAATAAAATAAATAACTTTTATATATTTCTCAACAATAAAACTCTACTCATTTTTTTTTTTTCCCGAAACGATAGATGCACTATAATTGTTATTATATTTCTCAACAATAAAACTCTACTCATTTAATCATACATTTTTAACCATCATTTTATCAATTGTTATTATATTTTTTACATATCTCATCAGTTTTTTTAAACAACTTTTTTTTTTTAATTTTCATTTTATTTTTGGAAAAGCTTTCATTGCTAAGCAACTTTGGAGACTCCTCACCAGGCCAAACCGACTAGTTTCCAGAGTGCTAAAGGAAAAATACTTTAACAAGGAGAATTTGTACAGTCCAAAAAAAAA